GATCCCCTCTGCCCATATTCCATCTCTAGCCCATGTGGCCTTGGCCTGGATGGAGATAACCAATGCAAGAAGTCCTTGTTAGAGGCATTCCCCCATAAGTGGAAAATTACTTCCTGTTTCCCCTCCTACTTCCCTGCCTGCCTGCCCCTCTCTTCTCCTGACACCCAATCTTGTTTCTTTTCTCTTCTCTTTTGAGGCACGGCTTTACATTGTAGCCAAGGCTGACTACAGTTTATGGCAGTCCTTCTACCTCAGCATCCTGAGTACTGAGATTTATAAGCATGAGCCACAACCCTCCTTCCCTGTCCTTTTGCTTCTTGATCCTTTCAGTCAGTCTGTGTCCTTTGATGGGAGAATTGAGGCCACTGATATTTAAAATCATTGAAATGTGTGTCAGTAGTGGTAATTGTGTTGTTGACTTTTGGTGTTTTTCTTCTTCTCAGTGGTATTTTGTGTTTTAATAATTAATACTTAGTATTTCTTTCCACAGTCTCTCTCTCCCTTTCTCTCTCTGTTTCTCCTCTCTCTGTTTCTCCTCTCTCTGTCTCTCTGTCTCTGCTTCTCTCTCTGTCTCTGTTTCTCCCTCTGTCTCTCTCTCTCTCTGTCTCTGTCTCTCTCTCTCATCTCTCTCTCTGCTATGCTCAATTCTCTCTTCAGGGAGAAATAATGCTTCCTATATTTTCCTTAGGTTTTAGTTTGTTGGGTATAATTTGTTTAGGATGTTCATACCGTGCAAAGTTTTTCATTCTGCTTCAGTCATCACAGTTTTCCAGGGTATATTTTTTAGGTAAATTACATCCTAGTCTACCTTCTGAAAACTCTTCTACCATGTTAAGAAGGCTGGGCTAACTTGTCATAGACAGAGAACAAATCGTTAGCAAATTTGATTGACAGACACGCTAGTGAACCCTGGTTGAGCTGCTAGATGACTGCATGTCCATGAGTTACACAGCTAAGACCAGACAAAATGCCCAGCTGAGCATCCTACAAAGAACTATGCTTGTCATAAACAAAACATGATATCAAATTATGAAATATTTATTATTACAATAAAGAATATGTTTAATACATAAGCAAATATTTAATTTATATAATATATTTAATAGAACTCAAATAATATAAAATAGAAAAACGAGATATTTTAAAGATGGGTTTTTTCTCAGTTGTGAATAGATGGAAAGAAGCATCAACTCAGATGCTTCTCCCAGTTTATGTTTGGTATTTTGATTCTTTTGTTAAAGAAGTCATTTATTTCTCTTCAGACAGGATTTAAACCAAGTTCTAATAAATCCCGCCAGAATTTTTAAAAAGAGTTGTCAGAAGAATATTATAACAATAAATGAAGAAAGAAATAATATGTGGTTACAGGTATTCTAATCTCTAGATGAATAAAAGAAAAAAACATAACAGTTAACTAAACAGGGTGATCCAGATGAGGCCTCAGACACCCTGATGCAGTTGTCCCTTGTGTAGAACATGGTGGCATTTAATGGCCTTGGGCCAAACGTTGTCCCATAGTCACTGTTGAATGAAAAATTTGTTATTTGTTACAGATATCCTCTCAGAAACTAGACTTACCTTAGTTCTTATTGAAATAGATTCTATGACTTTCCAAAACAAATAGACAAATAATATCAAGCAAAGGAATGTCAGGTATATGAAGATGAAAGGACTAAAGATGTATGACTTTAGCCGGGCGGTGGTGGCGCATGCCTTTAATCCCAGCACTCGGGAGGCAGAGGCAGGCGGATCTCTGTGAGTTCAAGGCCAACCTTGGTCTCCAAAACGAGTTCCAGGAAAGGCACAAAGCTACACAGAGAAACCCTGTCTCGGAAAAAAAAATTAAATAAAATAAATAAATAAAGATGTATGGCTTCAAGTTCTAAATCTCATTTCCATTTTAGACAGTGAATTATGAACTGTCTGTAAGTCCCTGGGCTTGTATGACACTAACTGCTGACTTCAAAGAAAACTCTACTACACTCAAGGTATTATTTCAGAGATTCATTATGCAATGTGTCCTATTTAAACCATTTAATAGGCTAATTATTTTGATATTTTATCTTTATTTGAGATGAAGCAAGTAGGGTGACAAACTATTTTGAAAGTAACAACACAATAGTGGCATAGGGCTTTGTTCTTTAGAATGTTTGATATTTTTATTGAGTAATTAATTTTTGGGCCCTCTACCATCATCCAGAAAGTAGTGTGTCTTTGCTTAAGCCAGTGAAAAAGACAAGAATGTACTTTCTTCCATGTTTATTTTCTATAAATCAGTAGAACCTAAGTGGGTTTTTTTTCTTTAAAAATGATAGTTTACTAGCTTTCTTTCTCTTCCATGGTCATGGGTTATCTAATAGTTCTTCCAATTAGAGAAAGGGTTTTTTTAAAGATTTATTTATTTATTAAGTATACAATGTTCTTCCTGCATATATGCCTGCACACCAAAAGAGGGCACCAAATCTCATTATAGATGGTTGTGAGCCACCATGAGGTTGCTGGGAATTGCTCTTAACCTCTGAGCCATCTCTCCAGCCCTGAGAAAGGGTTTGTAAGTGCTATATTCTCTGGAAATACTGTGGCCACAGAAGAAAAAAAATGATGCATACCATAATTGGAGCAGGCAGCTCTTCACCATCTTCACAAATATCCATGAGCGTCTGTCCAAACAAATGCCCAGTATTTGGGGCTGGTGTGTCCAGATGGACATAGTTAGGGGCCCGCCGAATAATCCGGTTTATGAAAGAACATATTCTTCTAACTGTTCTCTCTGAATCTGAGGAATAATGGAGGTCATTACATACATAAGTTTGATGATTCCCATGCATGATACTATAATGCTTGCTTAAATATACAGTATATATCAAGGAATTTCAAAGTGAATGCAGGGGGTATGATGTAGATGATATATGACATTACACCAAATATTTTATCTAACTGGTCACTTGTCTCTTCTGGGAATCACTCCTTAAATAATTTAGCTCACTGTAAATAGGATCCTGATTCTAGGAACAATACTAAGTCAGTTACTCAAAGCTCTAGATAAGTGTATTTCACTTGGAATAATCTTAGAAGTCCAAAAACTAGTAAGAGAAGATGGGGAGAAATTTCAAGGCAGCAGAAATAGAACATGATATAAAGGGGGAAAGAGGAATCATGGAAAAGGAGGTAAATGGCATGGGAGTGAGAAGGCAGCATAGAGGAGTGAATACTAGGAGGACAACAAACATTAAAAAAAATTTTGAAAAGCCATCTGAAATCCAACTATTGTAGATACTGCCTAAATGTGTGTGTGTGTGTGTGTGTGTGTGTGTGTGTATGTGTGTGTGTGTGTGTGTAAAATAGTGTAAGTGGAGTTACCCACTAACAGGTGATGATAACCAGGCTAGACTGCATAGTCTAACAAATGTAAGAGAGTGCTAGAAATGGGATGTTCTTTGTGAATTGTTGGCTAGTAGATACCAAAGATTCCCAACAGGCTGCTGACATTGATCTTGGTTATCCTCCAGAACTTGACACTAAGCTATTGTTGGAGACAACATATGCTTGACTCACAGAAATGGAGAAATCAACCTGGTGTGACCTGGAAGTTTCCTTCCATCTGTGCTATGCACACTACTGGAGAATAAGAGTAACTATCAATGTTATCTCAGTGTAATCCTGTAAGCTACAATAATAGATGCCCTGTCAAGATTTACCCAGTAGTGCAATAGTGGCACAAAAGCAATGGGGTTACCAATGTTACATGTTCTGAATGTATTAAAGTCCAAACCTCAAGATGGAATACATAACTGACACCATCATCAGGACCAATAACCTTAACTAGATGGGCTGAGGCTTAAGCAAAAAACTATCACTATTTTTTTACTAGTATATCTACATAGTATTAAACCAACCCCAAAAAGCTTATCATTATACAATAGATTAGTGCAATTCTCACTCCTCATCAGAGTTGCTTCTTTGGTAGTAGATAGTGATTTAACACCCGGATTTAATCCACAGCTGGTCTATGTGAGGAGAATAAAAGGCTTCGGAGTGCAGAATCCTGGTATCTCAAGAAATCATAGTCCTTCCTCCTATGGCTTAGTGATACTTTCACAAGAGAGCATAAAGACTGTAAGAGAGGAAGGAACTGTCTGACTACAATGAAACAATGTTTTCTACACACCAAGCAGCAGTTGCCAATATGAACTCACATGTGCAATTATGATAAATGCACAAGACATGTGAAAGCTCAAAATTCTAGAACTAATCCCAACATGGGGAATGGAGTTGGGCAGAAAGTATCACCCACATGTGATGAGCTATGGACAATTCCTATCTGCCCAATAGTGGAATTCAGTTTGCTTTAAGGATGTGGTCTCCAGTTGGTGGAGCATGCTCCAGTGGATGGCCACACACTCAAGAGTATATGGCCAATATCGAACTGGATTTTTTAAATTGTTTTAAGGAAAAAATAAAGAAGACACAAAGTGGATGGGTTTGGAAAAGGCATGAATGTGGGAGAAGTTGTGCAGTTGGGATTAAATATGATAAATATACAATATCTCTCTGATATTATGTTAAATCAGTTTTATTATGAATGAGACTACCTAACCATGAAAGACATTAAGCCCTGCACAGCTCAAGCCATGGTCAAAGAAATGTTCATAAAATGTTAACCTTTACTTTGATAATTTTTGGCATTCTAAACTAAACTGCTTCATTGGCTATACTCCATTTGGATGAGCAGCCACTTAACAGGTATAAGGTCCTGAAGCCATGCAGCCCCATTACTGCAATTAATACCCTGTCCTCTTAAAAGGGAGAAAGCATGCATCCTTACATCCTGGAGGATGTTTCTACAAATCAATAGGTACAAATGTTTGATAACTAAACATGGAGATAGACAGTAAACAGACACTTGGCTCTAGATTCCAAAGCGACCACTGGACCCAGAACACACCTTTTGGACCCCAGTCCCAGCCTGCGAACGGCAGAGGCTTGCCCGGGCCGCGGCCATGGACCACTTTGTGTGGACCAGCGGCCTCCTGAAGATCAATGAGATGCTGGTGATCCAGCAGCGTGGGGTGCGCATCTACGACGACGAGGAGAAGATAAAGTTTGATGCTGGGACTCTTCTTCTTAGTACGCACCGGCTGATTTGGAGAGACCAGAAAAACAATGAGTGCTGCATGGCCATTCCTCTGTCCCAGAGTGTGTTTATTGAGGAACAGGCGGCTGGAATTGGGAAGAGTGCCAAAATCATGGTTCATCTGCACCCTGCTCCTTCTAACAAAGAGCCTGGTCCGTTCCAGAGCACTAAGAACTCCTACGTCAAACTGTCTTTCAAAGAGCATGGCCAGATTGAGTTTTACAGGCGTTTATCAGAGGAAATGACACAGAAGAGATGGGAGAATGTGCCAGTCTCCCAGTCGTTACAAACAAACAAAGGACCCCAGCCAGGAAGAGTAAGAGCTATAGGAATTGTAGGCATCGAAAGGAAACTCGAAGAAAAGAGAAAAGAAACTGACAAAAACATTTCTGAGGCCTTTGAAGACCTTAGCAAGCTAATGATCAAGGCTAAAGAAATGGTGGAGTTATCAAAATCAATCACTAATAAGATTAAAGAGAAATGAGGTGACGTCACAGAAGATGAGACCATCAGGTTTAAGTCCTACTTGCTGAGTATGGGAATAGCCAACCCAGTTACCAGGGAAACCTATGGCTCAGGCACACAGTACCACATGCAGCTAGCCAAACAACTGGCTGGAATATTGCAGGCACCGTTAGAGGAGCGTGGGGGAATAATGTCCCTCACGGAGGTGTACTGTTTAGTGAACCGAGCTCGGGGAACAGAGGTCCCACCGAGACGGTAATGCAACCGATCCCAGAGAAGCCGGTGGGAGCCCCAGGGAGAGTTCTCTTTTCTTTGTGAAGGGCAGGGCGCCCAACGTGACAAGAATCCATTAAAAACTGCTTGGCGCTCTTTCTCTTCTCTCCTCTTCCTCACGCACGTGTCTCTCCCACAGGCCTGAGCACTCTATCCCTTTAACTCTAATAAACTCTATAAGCGGATTCTGTCATGTTTCGTGACATTTCCTTGCAGGGTAAGAACACAACGCAGCTAAATAACTAACATTTTGGTGCCGAAACCGAGCGGGCGCTTCCGGGTGCCCTGCACCTGGAAGCCCGCGAACCGGGTAATCTGCTCCGTACGCAACAGACCGCTCTCCATTCGCCTGAACCGCATCCAAATTGCATCCAACACCGCTTTCTTCGATTGGTGAGTCCCCCCATTTTTCAGCCAGCGTAAACAGTTTCCTGAATCTGTGAAAATGACCGTTGATCGTCCGGCGCCTCACACGTGTTCTTGAGACCGGGGGAACCCCTGACCACGGTCTTCATTGGCTATGGTCGGCCCCTATCGCAGGCCTAACTTTTCTAGCCATCTCCCACGTCTGCAGCCTGAGATATTTCTCGAGTTAGGGCCACCACCCTTGGTGCGTCCTGGGAGCCACGTGAGGCCGGCACGTCCATCTCCTTGACGAAGGGGCAAACGTTGTCTGGATTCCCGGGGAATCCTTTCCTCACCATGGAGGGGGCCCCTGCTTCTGTGGCTGACGAGTCAAGGAGCAGCCTGCGCCCGGTATCTGCCCTTGGCCTTGGGGACGCCTGGGGCCTTGGCTCCGGATCACGTTTATTTTTTATTTTTCTGCCTCCGCTGCAGACATGGGAAACAAGGCTTCCAACCCTGTTAGTCCTTCCTCTCCGTTAGGCTGTCTTGTTGAAGCTTTAAAACCTCTCAATTTAATGCCTTACGTAAAGATTTGTAAGCTAACTTGTTTATGTTCAAAAAAGTGGCCAAAGTATGCTTTAAAAAATAACAAAGAGCCGCCGAGCGGCTCCTTAGATCCCGATATTTTATGGGAGCTATCTAATCACTGTTGGCGTTCAGGCAAATGGAAAGAGTTGCTTTCTTCTTTCTCAACGCTAAACTATCTCTTCTCATTTCCTTCTCTCCTGCTCATATGCTCCTAGCTGTACGTAAACCAGAGGATTCTCTGACTCCGGAATCTCTGACTCTAGAGCTTGCTAAGGAACCAATAATTAAAATTCATGTTCCATTCTCTGTCTCTAACAGAACTCTCTCAGATAGAAAGTAAGCTGGGTTCTTCTACGTCTAATTCTGCTTCCTTTATTAAACAGTTTCAATATATA